GTGTGTGTGTGTGTGTGTTACCCTATAACAGAATAATATTAGCCTGTGACTGTTGTCTTTGGTAACACCTCCCCATATTCCGTCCCATTTTCATACTTACTGTGCCAGCTTAAGTATTTTTTTTAAAGATTGTTTAGACAGGTTCTCACTCTAACCTAGACTGACTTGGACCACACTATACATAGCCCTGACCAGCCTTCAACTTAAAGCAATCCTCCTGCCTCCCAACTGGTGGGATTACAGGTGTGAGCCATTGAACTAGCCGACTCGAGGTTGGAATTCGGCGTTGTATCAGCACATCCATAGAGAAGCTTTGTGTTGGGTTCCTCAGTTAACAGGTTAGACTTACCACGTGCTGCCCACAGCCCCCTCCAGAACCCTCCCCCACCACCCCAGAAAGTCCCGGGTGCTTCTCTTTCCTGTTTCTTTCATTCAGAGTTCAGTTTTGCTCTGAGACTGGGACAGACGTCTCTCCAGTGTCCTTAGCTGTTTTCCTGTTTCCTTCCAGCACTCTGCTGGCCTCTTTAGTACAGGGATTTGGCTAATTGCTTAATTTAGACAACTAAAATGGAGCTCTAAAATAACAAATAGCAGTGCTGTAACTAAGTTTCCAGCTGGCTTCAGGGTTGGTCCAGTCATTATGGAGTTCCTTGTTGATTTTATCCGCTGTGCTACAAGGGAGGCCAGGGGCTGAGGGCCACACTCCTCACAGGGCTTGGCCCAGCACTTCCTGGAGATGGCCCTGGAGTGGCACCAAGCTTGTAAGACAAGCCTCACAGCTGAGCCAGATGTGGGACGTCCCGATTTCAAAGTCCTGGTATCGCACCTGGAAGGTTTCCTTCTGCCCATCGCATTTTCGTTCACAAATTACCGTATTTGTTTTATGTGTGCTTTGTGTGGACGTGTATGTGCTGCCTGGCCCGTGTGGAGGTCAGAGGACGGCTGGTGGTGTAGATGCTTTTTGCTGGGGGTGGGGTGGGGTGGGGTGGGGTGTTTCACTGACTGCATTCAGGGTTTTGAAAACAAGGAGCCAGATTGATTTTTCTTGCTGCTGCTGTTTGAGAGACACAAGGTCTCACTATGTAGTCTTGGCTGGCCTGTAGACAAGACAGGTCTTGAACTCATGAAGATCCTCCAGCCTTTGCCTCCTGGGTACTGGGATTAAGGAGTGTTCCACCACAATGGGCTGGAGTGAGGTTTTCAAAATGGTGTGCCATTTACATCCATGTTCAACTCCAGTCTTTAAACTACAGATTCTCTTTGTGTTAGACCTTCCTTTTGTGATTTCTCACTTCATAGCCTCCTGGTGGGTCAGGCTAGACAATCAAATACCTCCTTTCTGTGGTGTCCATTCCTCTCCCTTGGGGTCTTCATGGTAGAAAGAATCACACTCTTTCTGAGACAGGCTCTCATGTAGAGTCTAGGCTGGTCAACTGTTTATGGCATTGGGGTTGATCTTGAACTGTGGACCCTCCTGCCGTTGACTTCCAAATGCTGGGGTTATAGCATGTACCACAGCATCCAGGACTTTGTGCACATCAGCCGAGCTGCAGGACACCACAGTATGATTTACTCATGGGAACTTTGGGAATTCCCAGAAAACTCTCTATTGGGCAATTTCTCCTGATTGTCATGTCAACTTTCTGACAGAGTTCTGAGCAGCTGCAATTGTGCCTGGGTTGTGTAGGAGGGAGCCCATGTTGGAAGTGGTCCTGTGATCTTTCTCACAGTGTTACAGAAGTTTTTGTTTTGCTCCTCAGCTTTACTGAGGTGATAGAGTGTGACTCATACAGTGTACGATGAATTGCGGCAATTGTTCATGGCCCATAACAACACCACATGGAGATCTGGAACAGTGGGTTCCCTTACCCTGAGAAATCCCTTCCCACCCTTTGTGGTCATTCTCTGCCCCTATGGCTAGTGCCATCAGCCCCATCTACTTCTGGCATCCAACTTGGGGGATCACACAGCTAGTCGCTCTTTCATTTGCCAAAAGGGCATGGCTTTTGTTTTGCCTGTCTTGTCCCTTGCCAATGTCAACTGCCATTTACTGGTATGAGGCACTCGTGTGTCTTGGCTTTTTGAGTCGGGGTCTTGTATATCAGATTCACTAATGTGGCTAAGATAACCCTGAATTCCTCCTCCCTCCACCTCGGGATTTCTGCGATTACCACTATGTCAACCATAGTGGGACCTGGGGCTGCATCTGTGCAAACTGAACTCTACCAACCAAACTCTAGGGGCTTTAGAGACAGGATCTCACATGGCTCAAGCTAGTCTTGAACGTGTTTAGGACACATTAGACTTCTGGTCCTCCTTGTACTCCCTCAGTGACAGGTTTACAGCTTTGTTCTCTCACACCCTGGCGAAGGCACCAGTGTCTTGAATAAATTTATTCTAAACTTAAAAGTATATGAGGTGGAGGATAACGGGGGGGGGGAGGGGAGGGCACGGGAGGAAGGGAGGGAACGGGAGAGGGGCCTGGAACTGACTTGTGAAGCAACCTTGATTCTTATCTAAATTTAAACTGGAAAATAAAATTTAAAAAAAAAAAAGAAAGAAGAAAAAAAAAAGTATATGAGGTGGTTCATTTTTTTTGGTAGGACCTAGAATGACCTATGAAATGTTAAACCCCTTGCTTAATTCTGAATATCTTTCTACTTTATGTTTTAAGAGAAGGCTATGGACTGAAAGTATATTCTTGAAAAGTCCGCATTGCAAGTGGTTCAAACAGTCAACTGAAAGTAATATACTTTTCATGGTTCCCTGGACCAGCACTTAGGCTGGCCTTGAATTTGTGCGATCTTCCTCCTGTTCAGGCTGGCCCCGTCTACTCATCTCTCACTGCCCACCTCAGTTTATGCCCTAGGATTCCTAGCAGCCTTCCTGAACCTCAGCAAAGTGGTCCCTAGCTGGTGCAGTTTCTGGTTTTGCTTCCATTAGGAAAGAATTCCCAGTGGTTCTCCAGGTTCCCTTGGACTCACGCCACTGTTTTTCCTGTTTAGTTTTTGGAAACGGTCTTGTAGCTCAAGCTATCCTAGAACTCTCCTATGGAGCCCAGGTTGACTGAAATTCCCTGTCTCGGTCTCCCAAGTACTGGGAATATTGGCATGCTGATTTAATTTTTTTCTAATATGACAAAAGATATACCCCTGTTTTTATTTCATTCCTCTACCCCCTCCCCACTTTTAGCTTTTTGTTTATGCTCTTGCTTTGAGGCTAGACTAGACTCCAGTTGCTATTAAGCTGGGGATGACCTTGACCTTCCAGTTTCCCTGCCTCCAGCTCCCATTCGTGTCATCATGCCCACCTTAGGCCTGCCGGGCGTTGGTGGCGCACGCCTTTAATCCCAGCACTCGGGAGGCAGAGGCGGGCGGATTTCTGTGAGTTCGAGGCCAGCCTGGTCTACAGAGCGAGTTCCAGGACAGCCTCCAAAGCCACAGAGAAACCCTGTCTCGAAAAAACCAAAAAAAAAAAAAAAAAAAACCTCAGGCCTTATCAAACCGAGTCCTTCTGCAGTCTCACCTCTGACTCCCATTGAGTGAGGGCTTATCTGCTGGTACGTAAGTCATGTGAGCAAATAATTCAGGTTGGAGCCATTGATGGTGTATTTGAAAAAAAAAGTTTTTTATTTGAACCATTTGTAGCCAGGCAGAGGCATTCAGCTTCCAGCACTCAGGAGGTAGAGACAGGCAGAACTCTGTGTTTCAGGCCAACCTAATCTACAGAGTGAGTTCCTGGACAACCAAGGCCACACAGTGAAACCTTGTCTCAAAAAACAGAAAACAAACAAACAAAAACCCCCACATTTGAACCATTTGTAATGAATACTCTTAAAAGGATATACTTTAAAGGCTGTGCACGGTGGCCCACACTTTTAATCCTAGCACTTAGGAGGCAGGATCAGGCAGATATGTGTTAGTTTGAGGCCAGCCACGTCTACACAGTACATTCCAGCAAACAAGGCTACACAGTGCTGCCGCGCATTGGTGGCACATGCCTTTAATCCCAGCACTTGGGAGGCACAGGCAGGTGGATCTCTGTAAATTCGAGGCCAGCCTGGTCTACAAGAGCTAGTTCCAGGACAGCCTCCAAAGCCACAGAGAAACCCTGTCTCATAAAACAAAACAAAAACAAAAAACTACACAGTGCGACCCTTTCTCAAAAACAGACAAACAAAACAAGAATATTCTTTCAACTGGGCTTAGTGATGTATTCCTGTAATCCCAGGCAGATTATAGGAGGTAGAGAGTTAGTGGGTAAACTGAGCTTCTTCTTAAGGTTCTTAGTCTCATTCATAAAAGAATTTAGACAGGGGAGCAAGCCATGCCCTCCGAGTTAGGGTCCGACATATTTGGCAAGCAGTCACACGCAGCAGCAGAGAGAGAAAACCCAGACTGTCAAGAGAAGTATGCCTGGAGTTTGGAAGGAAGAAAGAGAAAAAGCTACATTTTCTGGATAACTCAGGAAAGTGGGAACTCCACAAGAGACTACTTCTAGGATAGGGTTTCTGAGAAGGAAACTCATTAAGTGGATAATTATTCTTGCCATCTTTTTATCATGGCTTGAGGAAATCAGCCTCTCTGAGGTGATTGATAGGCCCCCACTGCTTTGGGTCTCCATGCAGAGCCGTGGTAGAACTTAGATTCTGGTCTTTTTATCTTCGAGCAGTTGAATGGACCCTTAAAGCCCAGAGACGTGTCATTGTGTGGCTCTGGCTGGTCTGGAACCTGCTGTGTTGACCAGGCTGACCTTGAATTCCCAGGCTGGCCTGTCTCTGCTGCCTGGGTGCTAGGATTAAAAGCGTGGACTACCATGTCTAGCTCTTTTATTTTTCAATTATGTGTTTGCGCCTATGTATGAATATGTGCCCATATGAGTGCAGGTGTCACGGGAGGCCAGAAGACTCGGGTGCTGGGAATGGAACTCGGGTCCTCTGGAAGAGCAGTGAACTCAAGTGCTGAGCCCTGTCTGACGTATTCTCTGTTTGCTCTGAGTAGATTCTGCCGATCCTGTATTGCAACCAGTATAAAGAATAATAAATGGACGTGTCCATACTGCCGGGCATACCTTCCTTCAGAGGGAGTGCCAGCAACTGACGTAGCCAAAAGAATGAAATCAGAGTACCAGAACTGTGCTGAGTGTGGGAGTCTGGTGAGTAATATAGCCCATGTTCATGACTGCAAGCAAAGTTTTCCACTGAGACTATCATTCCGCCTGCTCCAGCTCCCCGACTTTGGGAACAGGGTCTCATTCTGTAGCTCAAGGGGGACCTAAACTTGCCGTCCTCCTGCCTCTGCTTTGGAAGTGTCCGATTCCATGCGTGCCCCCCCCCCACATCAGCTCCTTTACCATCAGTGTGAATGTAGCTCAGGGAGATTGCACCCATGGCTTCCTGCGAGGTAGGTGACTGCACCACATCCCAGCCCTCGTTTTCACGTGTGAAGGAGACGCATTAAGCTACCTGTGCGAGCTGTGAACTCTGTATCCTCATAGCAGCTAGCATTACAGGCTTGCCCCGCCAGCCGTTTAAACATTCTGCTTTCTCACCACCAACAAGAGCTGGAAAATAAACATTTTTAACATGGAATTGAAAAAACATGAAAATTCAAGCCTTTACTCTCAGCACACTGGAGGCTGAAGCTGTATGTCAAGGCTATCCCAGTCTACATAACAAGTTCCCATCAAGCCAGGACTAATACAGTACGGTGTGTCAGAACAGCAACAAATACCCGAAACAAAAAGCCAGTCCTCAGCCGGGCGTTGGCGGTGTACGCCTTTAATCCCAGCACTCGGGAGGCAGAGACAGGATCTCCGTGGGTTTGAGGCCAGCCTGGTCTACTGAGCTAGCTCCAGGACAGGCTCCAAAACAGAGAAACTGTCTCGAAAAACAAAACAAAAGTCAGTCCTCGCCAGGAGGTAGCGCATGCCTTTTTAGTCCCAGTGCTCAGGAGGCAGAGACCAGCCTGGTCTACAGAGCGAGATCCAGCACAGTCAAGGCTACATAAAGAAACCCCATCTGGAAAAACAAAAAGACTAGAGAGATGGCTCAGAGGTTAGAAGCATTGGCTGCTCAATTCCCCAGCAACCACATGATGGCTCACAGCCATCTGTAATGAGATCTGGCGCCCTCTTCTGGCTTGCAGGCATATGTGCGGGCAGAGTACTGCATACATAATAAATACATCTTTAAAACAAAAGTCAGTCCTCATAAGTCAAAGAACGCGGTTACTCTCCCACCTTGCCTCAGAGCCTGGAAACCAGCTGAACATTGTCCCCCGCTCCCTCTGAGTTTACAGGAAGATGCTAAACGGCCTCTGGACTTCTCAGCTCCCAAGAGAGACTGATTTGATCTGGCTACCTGCACCCCTCTTCCGGGGCCCCTGTCTCCTACTAGGCTCCTCTCCTGTCACCATCTTTCCCTTGAGACCTTACGGTCACATTCCACGCGTCAGTCACTGCCCACGCTCTTAATGCAAGGGCACATGGGGAACTTGGCACCTCCTCTAACTTCATACTCAGCATTTATCCACTAAGGCCTTTAAATGCCACTAAGGCCTCGGTGAAAGACATTTTTTTTTTTTTTTTTTTTGGTTTTTCGAGACAGGGTTTCTTTGTGGCTTTGGAGCCTGTCCTGGAACTAGCTCTTGTAGACCAGGCTGGCCTCGAACTCACAGAGATCCGCCTGCCTCTGCCTCCCGAGTGCTGGGATTAAAGGCGTGCGCCACCAACGCCCGGCCGGTGAAAGACATTTTTAAGTGTAAAGCCCAATTATCTATCATGGCCACCTGAGCAGAATTTATGATGTATCCTTTGGGAGCAAGCATCCAGAGACCCAACACTAATTTTCACACCTGTTTCAGATTTGGCACAAATAAACAACTTGTGTGTTTATTTTTATTAATTTATTTTACAGAGACAGCCTTACCATGATTGTCTATCCAAACCAACAGCATTCTCTCAGGTCCTGGGTGGATTCCTCACCTGATTCTGATCTCTGGTATCTGACTAATCAGGATTTTTGGTTAGTGTTTGTGTCCCTCTCTTGCTTTCGGGGCTGTTCTTCTGTCCAGGAATGCTTCCTGTTCCTTTACAAGTTCCAGCTTTGGGGACCTCACTGTCCAGGCCAGTTCTCTCTACGGAGCCTGGCCTTAGTATTTGGAGTACCTCTCAAAACATCTTAACTACCTGTGTATTTGATTATCTGCAGTATTAGAACACACAAGAGGCTCATTGTCTAACATCTCTTCAATGGCACCTTGCATAATTTTGTGTGTATGTCTAGATTATAAATTTGTCACTATGTTTGTCAATGTACAACCCCCAGGTTGATGCTTTTTCTAAGGAAAGCTTATCTTTCTTGAACAAAGAATATGATTTTTTTTTGAACCAGAGTCTTAGCCTAGTTTAGCCTGAAACTGTGATCCTCCTGCTTCAAACCCTCCTCCTCCCAAATCCTGAAGGATTATGCATGTACCACACCACACCTACTATCAGGCTAATTTTTTCCCTCCCTCCCTCCCTCCCTCCCTCCCTCCCTCCCTCCCTTCCTTCCTTCCTTCCTTCCTTCCTTCCTTCCTTCCTTCCTTCCTTCTGTTTTTTTTATTGTTGTTGTTTTTATTTGTTTTGTTTGTTTGAGGCAGGTCTCACTCTGTAGGCCTGCATGACCTGGGATTCACGGTGTGGATCAGGTTGACAGAGATCACTTGCCTCTCCTTCTCAAGTGCTGAGATTAAAGAGTCTGCCATAATACCTGACTCAGAAGTGTGTGTGTGTGTGTGTGTGTGTGTGTGTGTGTGTGTGTGTGTGTGTAATGTATGTATATACTTCTATATGATTAAACTAAGTAAAGAGAAGCCATATAAAGAGGATTCTTAAATTTTTATTGTGTGTGTGTGTGTGTGTGTATGTATACGAACGAACAGGCACACATGAGCACAGCTTGCATGTGGAAGCCAGAGTACGACGTGTAGGAATTGGTTGTCTCCTTCTTCTTTGTGGGGGCCTGGAATCAGTTGTCAGGGTTAGTAGCAGGAGCCTTTACCCACTGAGCTATCTCAGCAACCCCCAAGTAGATGTTATAGGTTACAAACGTTTCCCTGCTCCTCCTCTCCCTCCTCCCTACCTCCCACCCCCGTCACAGATGTAGTCTCACTGTATAGGCCAAGCTGGCCTGGAACTCAAGGATCTACTCACCTTTATTTCCCAAGTGCTCACCACTGGGTTTATATCTTTAATCCCATCACTGGGGAGGCAGAGGCAGGAGGATCTCTGAGTTCAAGGTCAGCCTGGTATATGGAGCTAGTTGCAGGACAGCCAGAGTTGTTATACAGAGAATCCCTGTCAAAACCAAAAAACAAAAGAGAAGACATGCCCCACCAAGTCTGGCTACAAGCATGTCTTTTTAAGATGACTACCTTGATCAGTCCTCCTTTTTATGGCTTTGATGGGTACTTTGTCACTGTTTTTGTGTTCTTGCTAACTTCTGCCTTTGGTTAAGCGACTGTGGCTATTTTTGTTTGTTTGTTTGTTTGTTTGTTGTTTTTCGAGACAGGGTTTCTCTGAGTCTTTGGGGGCTGTCCTAGAACTAGCTCTTGTAGACCAGGCTGGTCTCGAACTCACAGATTCACCTGCCTCTGCCTCCCAAGTGCTGGGATTAAAGGTGTGCATCACCACTGCCTGGATACTGTGGCTATTTCTGTCACGTGGTAGTTTTTGAAGCTGAACTTCCAGTGGAAGTTTGGGCAGCATGAGCTGGCTGTGGGCTGCCACCTAGCCACCGCTGTAGGAAGCTTCCTCCACGAGGAGATGCTATCAGTGTTTCTGATGAAACTGAGTGGAGTGTGCACTGTACTGTCAACATAGCCCTCTGCGTGTTTATCCGGGAAGAATAAGATAAAGATGGACTCCAAGAGCTGTGCTTTGTTAACCCTGATGGCACTAGGAAGTCTACTGTGCATCGTGAGCTCACAGCACGGCTAGTCATGTCATGAATTGGTGACATTTATGACTTCACCAAGCTGTGAGGTTTCCTTTACTTTATGATGGACCCTTGAAAAATGTGTGCATTCCATTGTCTTCGTCTCTATTTCTTTTCATCTCTTGCTAGTGTTTTTCTTCTTCTCCTATTCTTACTCTTTCCTCTTCATCTAGTTTTCCTTTTGTCCAAAATCTATTTGCATAACAGAATGCAAAACAAAATCCTTTGTTGCTACTCATCTTTTTCCCTTTTAAAAAACAAAATGCTTCTTAGAAGGAACAAATGTAAAAGCTCAACATTCAATGTTTCTGAAGTGTTAGGAGATTTAAAACACAGTATATTGTTATTATTGTTACTATTACTACTACTATTACTACTGCGGGTTTGTCTCTTCCCTGGCTGTCCTGGAACTCGATCTGTAGTCCAGGCGGGCCTCAAACTCAGAGATCTGCCTGCCTCTGCCTCTTGAATGCTGCGGTTAAAGGTGTGTTCATCTGGCTCAGCACTACTCTTGATAATTCCTGTACGTTGTGTTGTTTCATGAATAAATCCACTTAATTACTGCCCCAAGGTATCCTGATTTGAAAGTTATGGAGTAGGTCACATAGAGGCCCTTTCCAGCAGGAGTTTTATCTGATTTCCTTTGTGTAGGTTTGCCTCAGTGACATGAGGACACACATAAGGACATGTGAGAAGTACATCGATAAGTACGGGCCGCTGCAAGAACTCGGAGAGACGACAACAAGGTTTGTTTGAATTCAGTGGAATGTCATGCTAAAGTCAGTATGTTGATGGAGAATTTAGGCCTAGAACTTAGGAGGCTGAGGCAGGAGAGTTTTTATGAGTCTGAGGCCATTCTGGGCTATACATGAAAGTGCACTCAAATTTGAGTTTGAACATCTCTGTTTAAAAAGACTTCTTTCCTGTTTATGTGTCTTGCATTGTCTGCACCGTGTGTATGCTGTATCCACAGAGGTCAGATGACCACTCTGTGGGCACTGGAATTCCAATCCAGGTCCTCTGTAAGAACAGCCAATGCTCTTAACTGCTGAGCTATCTCTCCAGCCCCAAATATCTCTTTTTTAATCGTGGGTGATGGTGGCACACAACGCCCATCTTTATTTTCTTAATACTTGTGTGTGTGCGCTCCTGAGGGTATGCTGCGTCACGTGGATGCAGGGCCCTGTGGAGGAGGGAAAATGTGTTGGATCCCCTAATGGAGTCACGCAGAGTTGTGAGCCCTCTTTTAGGTGCTTGGAACTGGGCCTGAGCCCTCCACAAGAGGCCTTTTAACCACCGAGCCATCTCTCCAGCCCCCAACTTACACATCTTAACCTCAAAGTCCAAGGCACACTCTTTATTTTACTTGAAATTGCCTTGCTAATGTACATGCTACTGCAGGATTTGTTTTATAAGTGATGCCGTAAAATTTAAATTTAATTTTTGCTGAGCAGAGTGCAGATTCTGCTAGATTGAAGAGTAGTGGGGAGGAAGGGGACACATGAGTGGCTTTGACTGCAAGTCGATGGAGTTTATAAAAATTTAAAATATACGGAAACTAACTTAAACTTTAATTTCCTTTGCTGGTTAAAGTAATAGCAAAGACTCTTGCAGCTAAGTTTGGTGGCACAGGCTATAATTCCAGTACTCTGAAGACCAAGTCAGAAGGATCACCAATGCTAAGCTGGTCTATGCTACATAGTACCTTTGAGGACATCTTGAACCATGCAGTAAAACAAACAAAACCCCAGCCAGTATGGTGACAAATGCCTATAACCACAGCATTTGAGGAAGCTGAGGTAGATGGATTGCTGTGAGCTTTAGGAAAGCCTGAGCTACATAGCAAGACTCTTGTCTCAAAACTCACCAACCAGAAAAGGAAGCCACGTGGTGGCACATACTCATAGTCTCATAATCCCAACATTTAGGGGCTAGACGCCAGAAGACCAGGGTAAGCCTGGGCTACATAGTGAGACCCTGGCCCTCTCACAGAAAAGATACTAATGCCCTGTAGACCAGGCTGGCCTCAAACTCACAGAGACCCACCTGCCTCTGCCTCCCGAGTTCTGGGACTAAAGGCGTGCGCCACCAATGCCCGGCGGTTTTTTAAATTTCTAGTTAGGTGGCTACTCCCTAGGTGACCACTGTTGTAGTGGCTGTAATCCATTCTCTGCTCTCCCCAGGTGTGTGTGTCCGTTCTGTCAGAGGGAACTGGATGAAGGCTCTTTGCTGGACCATTGCATTACCCACCACAGATCAGAAAGGAGGCCTGTGGTAAGGATTCTCACCTACTGCCTGTCTGTCCGAATATAGTGTCAGAATTTCAGATGTATTAGAATCTGGGCATCTTGTCTCGTGCCTGTAATCCCAGTGCTTGGGAGGTAAGGAAGAGGGGACGCTGAAAGTCTGAGGCTAGCTCCGTGCCAGCACTTACTTATTTTCTGATTTTTAAAGTTACTACAGTTATTTATCTGTGTGTTTACACCAAGTTCACCTGTAGGGATGATAGAACTTTGGGGTGTCTTTTGGCAGAGAACTTTGGGCACAACTGGTGTCAAGTGTCTTTACTCACTGAGCATTTCACCAGGCCCAAGAAACTCTGTGTAATATGTTGCTGGGCATGATGGCACACACCTTTGGAAGGCAGAGGCAAGTGGATCTTTGTGAGTTCAAGCCTGGTCTACGTAGTGGGTTCTAGGATAGGCAGGTCTACAACAGTAAAGCCCTATAGTTTATTTTTGATTCTTAAAAAAACAATATTCAAATAAAAAAATAAATGCTTAGTGTCTTACCATGCAGCCCTAGCTGGCCTGGAATTTTCTTTGTAGATCTGGTCGACCTTGAACTCACAGAGCTCTTCCTGGATATAGATAGAATTTTTTAACATTGAGTTATAAAGGCAAGTGTAGTAGTAGGCTGGTGTTTAAGGCCAGACTTGGTCACAGTAGATTCAAAGCTAGCCTGAGCTACATGAGAAACAAAACGAAACAGTGCTAGGAAGATGGCTTAGTCAGTAAAGTGCCACACAAACAGGAAGACCCGAGTCTGTGTCCCTGCATTCCCCTAAGACCCGCATGTGATGGTGTGGTACCCACCTGGGGTCCCAAGACTGCTAGCTTAAGTAATTAGCCCCAGGTTCAATGAGAAGCTCTGTCTCAAAACATAAAGCTTGAGGGGCTGAAGAGATGGCTCGATGTTTAAGAATACTTGCTGCTCTTGCAGAGGACCTGAGTTCAGGTCTCAGCACCTACGTGGTAGCATCCAGCAATCTATAACTTCAGTTCCAGGATATCTGATGCTCTCTTCTGGATTGTATGGGCACCAGGCATGGATGTGGTACACATATTATATGCAGACAAACACTCATACACATAAAAGCCAATAAATCATTTTTTAAGATCCTTAAAAACTGTATGGCACCTCAAATACATAAAGGGGAAATAAAAATGAAAATAAATTAAGAACATGAGGTGGAGAGTAATTGAAGAAAACACCTGACATTGGCCTCTGGCCTTCACATGAACATTCACAAACATGACCTTGTGCAGATACTTGCAAATACAAGAATACATGTATGCATCACTCCTACACGAAACTAAACTAACAAAACGCAATGTTGAGGTATGTCCAATGGATTCAGAGTTACAGTTCGCATTCAACAGTGACTTCTTTTTTTAAATTCTGGAGTTAATAACTATTGAAACTTCTATTGGTCTTTTCTTCTAGTTCTGCCCTCTTTGCCATTTACTACCTAGTGAGAGCCCAAGTACCTTCAACGGCAGCTTAATCAGACATTTGCAAGTCAGCCATGCTCTGTTTCATGATGATTTCCTAGTAAGTATATTTATGCCTTTTACATTATGCTTTTGTGCTATGTTAAGCTTACCTGTTAAAGTCTCCATGAATAAAATTGTACAAGAAAAACTGAGCATGTAGGAAAGGGTATGGATTAACATTAGCATTAAGGAGAATGTCATGTCAGTAGAGTAGCATTCACTACTAATGTTGAAGTAGTCTTCTTTCAACAGCTGTGGTGGTGTATACCTTTGATCCTAGCCCTGGGGAGACAGAGGCAAACAGAGCTCTGTGAGTTCAAGGCCAGCCTGGGCTACATAGTAAGTTCCAGGCCAGCCAGAGCTACACAGTAAGACACTGTGTCAATGAACAAACTAAAACTATAGAATGGACTTCTCATAGCAATTTCACCTTTTGTTTTAGAAGTGAGAGGAACTGGAGAGAGATAGGGCTCCTACTACATTTGTTTTTACTTATGAAAGTGCTGATATGAAGCTTAAATTTCACTTCGATGCATAAAGAAGCAAGAAGAGCATTTTGTTGATTTTTTTTCCATTCCACAAATCAGTAATTAATAGAACTGTTATTATTCTGAGGCCTAGGACTGGCCTTCTTTTTTTTCCCAGTGCTAGAGATCTGCCCTGGGGTCTTGCCCATTCTAGGAAAATACTGTCATTCAACTGTGACCCCCAAAACTAGCGGGAATAAAGTGTAAACTTTATTCCAGGTGTGTGTGAAATATAGAGACCATCCTGACCTGACAAGGCTTTCTTTCCTTTACTTTTATACACCTTAAGGTTCTAATTTGCTTTTTACTTGTATGTCTATGTGTATGTTGTGGAGAGGGGGGTGTTTGTCAAGTGAGGTTAGAAGTGGACATCAGCTTAAGACTTTATGGCAATTCCTGAAAGGCCAGTGAAATCAAACAGGAAACAATAACCTCAAAGTAAGTTCTGGGCCTGACAGGCCTCCTGGAATCGTGGACAGGCCTTGTAACTCAGGGAAATTATTTCCTGAAAAATGAGCACTGTGTTGACCCTTGTGCCAACCCCTCGCATTTCTGAAACAAACTGACTGTTTCTAATCATTCTTCTCTGTTGTAGGATTTTGATATAATCGAGGAAGCCCTTATCCGAAGAGTGTTAGACCGATCACTTCTCGAATATGTGAATCACTCAAACACCACATAATTTTATAAGGGACGATTCACTTGTACCATTTAAGATGCTGCTTGAAGGACTAGAGGGAAACCGTCAGTGTTTGATGACGAAAAATGTACCACAGTGTTACAAGCTTGTCTTTGTTAAGTTGCATTCCAAAACTGCTTTTGTTTTGGTTTAGATCTGCCTTTACATTCTTGAGTTTCTTAGACATTTAGCCACAGGCAGTAGTCTCCATAAGCTGTTAACAGATGGAAGAGGCACAGACTGAGTATGTGATGAAGGAGGTCAGATGCACATTGGTGACACTGTGCACAATGCTACGTGTTCATAACTATCACCATGGCTAGGCAAGACAACCAATCTCTGTTCTATACAAAAGGATGGACCAAAATATGTGGACTAAAGGAAAGCGAAAATGCACTCAAATCCTAATGCTCTAATCTCCAATAAAGGAATGTGAATAATCTTACATGGAAGGAGGAAAGGGAAGAATTTGAACGCAACAGAATCGATTTTTAACCAAATTACAGTACATAATATTATAAGGAATTTTGTCTTTGGAATGTGTACTTAGCTGGACATAGTGGTGCTTGCCTGCAACCCAAGTATTTGGGAGGCAGAAGGATCAGAAGGGCAAGGCCAGCCTTGGCTGATGAGACCATAAAAACATTAAAAACAGAAAAAAGAAAAATTTATGTGGACTTAACTATTGACATATCATATATGCACATATAAAAATTTGATAGAATTTTTTCAAATATTTGTACCTTATTATTTAGAAGTATTTTATAATATAGGTGATTTCTTTAGACCTATCTGTTAATATTTGTGGTCGAAATTTTCACATTGGTAATTTTGAGTGGAACTCCCAAGCTTTGTTTTTAATTTTAACATCTTAAAAAGTATAAAATAAAGCACACAAAATGTATAGCTTAATGTGTTATTATAAGAAACATTATTGCTCATGGATGGTGACATATGTATGCCTGGGAGGCAAAGAAGTATTGCTTCAAGTTCAACGCCAACCTGGGCTACATAGTTGTAAGGCCTGCTTGGGCTGTAGAGTGAGACCTGGTCTCATTATGAACTCATGTATTTAGACACCCAGGAATGGACATCCATCCTTTGTTGAGGTTCAGCTTCTCTTTTCTTTGCCATTCCTCAAAGGCTGGCTGAGTCCTTTGAACATTTTGTTACTTTGCTTGCTGTCTCCTATGGTGAGAGCCTCCATGCGGAACTTGTGTTTGCCGTTATGCCTCTAAAACCACCCTTTCTCTGAGAAGCCAGCTTTCTTTCTGTGTGGGATGGTATTCCAAAGCTGGGAATGGTAGCCCATGCCTGTCAGGAGTTTCTGTTGTCAAGCTCTTCCTCAGCTGCATAGCAAGGTGGAGGACAGCTGACACAAGGCCTTTTTCATTCCAGGAGGGCTCCAAGGGTAGCTACTGTTGACTACACAAGACCTTTTTCATTCCAGGAGGGCTCCAAGAGTAGCTACTGTTGTTGAGGTGGCCATTGTTTCAAGGAGAGAGCTCGGAAACAGCTGTATGTTTGTTTAAAGAGAGAATACCTCATGGCCAGACATGGTGGCCATGGTAGTCCAGGATGGCTGCTAACTTGAGACCCTCTTGCTCTAGCATCCTGTTAGTAAGGATACAGGTGTGTGTTCCCATGCCTGGAAGTTATTTCCCATTTTCAAAATTAGCTTTACTGTGCCAGTGTTTTTTGTTTTTTGTTTTTTTTGTTATGTTCTACTCTCTCCCTTTTACAACCCCCCTCCCCAGTTCTTCAGGTAATATGTATATATTATTACTGGAGTTTTTCACATTTGATACTTTTGGGGGGGGAGTTGAAACAGGGTTTCTCTCTGTAGCTTTGGAGCTGTCTTGGAACTCTCTCTATAGACCAGGCTGGCCTTGAACTTACAGAGATCTGCCTGCCTCTGCCTCCCGAGTGCTGTGACACATTTGATTCTTCAGTGACACTGATTAGAATTACCATCTTGAAATGAAAAATGTAACCAAAACTTTGGCCATGGACTCCTGAGGGTGAAATGTTATTTGACTTAAATTAGCTAGCGGGCTGGTAAGATGGCTCACTAGGTAAAGGCTCTTGCTGCCAAGTCTGACAATCTGAGTTTGATCCCTGTGACCACATCTGTGAAAGGGAGCTCCCACACACAAATAAATGAGCATAACACAACTTTAACTGTAATAATTTATAAGCATCATTCATTACACATCGACATTGTCATAATCATGGTACCATGGCTTCTTCCCCCTTTTTTTGAGACAGGTTCTCAATATGTATACCTGGCTGGTCTGGAACTCACTGTGTAGGGCAGACTGGCCTTGAACTTTAGGTGATCTTCCTGGTTCTACCTGCTGAGATTTATATGTGGTCCTCTAGTTTCTAAACTTTCGGTAATGAATTTTTCCACGACTGCTTTGATATTGCTACTGTTTTCCCACCCAGGACAAGTTCACTTGGGGGATATAAAGCCAGGGAGGAAAAGGGCTTCAGGACATACCTTTCATTCGTTCATTTGTCTTTCAGTGTTAGATTAAACCCAGGAAGTGATGTGCACAGGCCAGTGCTGACCCAGGAAGTGATGTAAATCAGGTCAGTGCATATGCTAATTTAGAACCATCAAGTTGTTACACCTCTAAGTAAGTTAAAAAACCCATTCTGGGGTCTGGAGAAATGGCTCAGTGGTTAAGAACACCAGCTGCTGTTCTAGAAGATGCTGGTTCAATTCCAGCACCCACATGGCATTCACAACTGTAACTCCAACTCCAGGGCATCCAACACCCTCAGACATGTATGTAGGCGAAACACCAAAGCACATAAAATAAAAAGCAAAACAACCTATTCTGGATAACCAAGATGGCTCAGCAGGTAAAATGTTCTTGCAATTCTGGCCCCCAAGTTTATCTGAGCCCCAGCAGCTGATGGTGGAAGGACGACTCAGGAAAGTTGTCTTTCCATTTTTGCACACGCACTGTGGCATGCTCATGCTCACATCAGCACACATAAAAATAGCGAATGATGCCGGGTGTTGGTGGCGTGCGCCTTTAATCCCAGCACTCGGGAGGCAGAGACAGGCGGATCTCTGTGAGTTCGAGGCCAGCCTGGTCTACAGAGTGAGTTCCAGGACAGTCTCCAAAACAATACAGAGAAACCCTGCCTTGAAAAACCAAAAAAAGAAAAAAAGAAAAAAAAGAAACCCAACAGCTGAATTCCAAATTGGGCATGGCAACTCAAGTCTGTAATCCCAGCACTTGGGAAGTAGAGGTACAAAGATGAGAAGTCTGAGGCCAGGCTCGGCTACATAGCTAGTTTAGGCCAGCCTGGGGTTACATGAACTGTCTCAAAAACCAAAACCCTATGTTGTAAGCACTAAGTTGAAGTCATTACTAACAGTGTGTGGATAGACTCAGAATTCTACATGAGCTTTGTTGGTTTGCTTGTTTTTTAATTTTACCATCTATAGGATAAATTCGGTGCTGGCCACCTGGGTTATTTTGTGTTCTGAATTACTGCAGTTTGAAAGTAACATGCAAATATTCTTTCACTGTGCTTTTTACCTTTTTATAGAAAGGAGTCTGTAATTCATTGCTTTAAAAAGTAAAAAGCGGTATTCGTGTGTTTTTTTTGTAAATACTGTCTTATGTTACAACTTTATCAAGGAAAGAGATTCAGTGATATTCCAATGATTCTAAAACTCAGTTCTAAACTGCATGGAAAGTGGATTCATTGCAGATCAGCGGCAGAGAGTTAGCACTCCTAAGGCCCCCTTGACTACGGTAATGTTGGTTCCTTACAGTTACTGGCTATTTTATGTGTGTTTCATTTCAAAGTGAGCTTACTCCAGTTTTTGAATGTTCATTATATGATAATTTGTATGCTCATACATTGAAGTTATTTTTTAAGTACTAAGAGATTCATTCTTTCATTGTTCAAATTGTAAAAAGAACTTCTGATCAGAACTTAAAATGTATAATTCTTTTTCTTTTGAAAACTGTATTATTATGAAAAATAAAGAATGGCAGGACCATTGCTTTCATTAAGATATCCACTGTGTATGTGGGTTTTGTTTTTATTTTTGTGGTACTGGGTATAGAGCCTAGGCCTCACACATGCTGGTCAAGCATCCGAGTGCCTAGCTACATCCCTGCTTCTCTTCCTTTTTAAGACAGAGTCTAAATTAGTTGCCTAGGCTGCTTTTGAATTGTCATCTCTGTTTTAGCCTCTCAAGTAGTTGGGATGACAAGCATGAGTCACCGTACACAGTTTTTATTGTTTTGAAATAGGGTTTCAACTGGTAGCCCTGATGACCTGGAATTTGCTTACATAAACCCAGCTGGTTTTGAACTTGTGATCATATCTTTGCCCTCCCCCACAAGTTCTGGGCCTGTAGCCATGAACTGTTATTCCTGGCCAAGTGGCTTAGGAAACGCTCCCTCCCCTCTTCTCGGAAGTGCTAGGACAGGGACCCAGGGCATGTGTGCAGTTCTGTCTTATCTTTCTAGTTTTAGTGGAGACCCTTGCTAACAGCCAAGAGTAATGTCAGGGTGCTCAGAACGCCAAGTTTTCTAAACTGTGCTGTTATGGGTACTCTGAGTGTTAGTGATGAGGGGCTATCTTCTGCACTGGAGAATACTGAAAACCCTTAGTTTCTGCCTAGATCCTAAGCCAATAGCATACACTTCCCAGCTAGGACAGTCAATGTCTGTAGACAATGACAGTGTCTGCTGGGACGCAGAACTACTGGACTAAATGAAAATGACTTCGGTGGTAGATGTTACTTAGCCATGATTAAAAACAAAGAGGTGGCATGACACAGGACTCTGTCTCAAAAACAAAAGTGCTGCTACATTGCCTTTGGTCTATGGATGTAGAGTACTTGCCTCACACAAATATATAGGTCCAGTCTTTAGCAGCAAACAAAATAGGTGTGATTACACTTGCCTATAATGGTACAGGCAGGAGTGACAGGTGTTCAAAGTTAGCCTTGGCTTTATATTGAGTTTGAGGTCAGTTTGGCCCACAAAATACAGTCCTAGGTTTCAGAAGATACATGTTTTAAAAGTTTTGAATAAATAATATAATTACGTGTGTGCCTGAGTGTGTGTATATAAACATGTGCAAGCAGGAGTTCTTGGCTTAGAGGCATTGGATCCCCTAGAACTAGAGATACAGTTGTGAGGTGCCATGGGACTTCTGCAAGGACAGCCCGTTCTCTTAACCACCGAGCCATGTCTCCAGCCAGACAAGAACACATCTTGGTTTTTTGTTTTGTTTTTGAGGCAGGATCTTAATTTATAGTGCTGGCTTGGCCTAGAAGTCAGAAAGCTGCCCACCTCTGCCTCCTGAGAACAGATTAAAGATGTGTGCCACCATAGTTGAATAAAAACAACAACAAAAAAAATGAACACATAATTGTTTTTTCCCTGAGACAGGGTTTCTGTGTGTAGCTTTGGAGCCTGTCCTTGAACTCACTCTGTAGACCAGACTGGCCTTGAACTCACAAACTCACATAGATCAGCCTGCCTCTGCCTCCCAAGTGCTGGAATTGATGGTGTGCACCACCACCGCCCTGCCGTATTTCATTTGGTAATGATTCCGAAGTTTGAGTAAAAGTAACTAAATGTTACCATGATAATAGTGTGTATCAGAGCCACGTGTGGTGGCACATGCATTCCTACAAGCCTGGCATTTGGCTGAAGCAGGAAGAGAGTGTAGAGCTAACTTTAGCTGTATAAGGAGTTCAAGACTTCAAAGCCTACTGAGATTTTTTTTTGAGACACAATCTCATGTAGCCCAGGCTGACCTCACCCTCGACAAAAAAACAACCAGCACCTACCCTCTAATCTATCTCTTTTGTTTTGTTTTTGAGACAGGATCTCACTATGTAGCTTTGGCTGTCCTGGAACTCACTATGTAGACCGGATGGCTTGGAACTCACAGATGTCCGCTTTTTTTTTTTAACAGAGGGCCTAAAATGCAACATTCTATCATCCTTTTATGGAATTTCAAGGTTGTGTTCTGCAGAAATTTGAACTTAGGGGCCAGCTGGCTTGAAACTCCTTATGGGGGTGTTGTAGGATATTATTTTAAAACTAGGCAAAGATATGTTACTTCTGTTTATGCTGCATTTGTTTAATTATGAAAAGATGTGTTACATTTGTTTCACTATGCCTGACTTCTTTTGGTCTACTAAAGAGCTGAACAGCCAGTAGCTGGGCAGAGAAAGGATACATGGGGCTGGCAGGCAGACAGAATAGATAGGAGGAGAAATCTAGGCTGAGAGAAGAGAAGAATGAGAGAAGGGGAGAGAACCAGGGACAAGCCCAGGGCAAGGTGAGAGACATGCCCGGGGCAAGAATACAGCTAGACACCAGGCAGATGTAGGGAAGCAGTGAAAGTAAGATCTGCAGAAGTAGGAAAGGTAGCAAGCCTCCAGGCAACGGGCAGATAGAGAGAACGGGTTAATTTAAGTTAAAAGAGCTAGCTGGAAACTAGCCTAAGCTAGCCTAAGCCCAGTATTCAAAACTAATAATATGTCTCTGTGTCATGATTTGGAAGCTGGTCGGTGGTCAAAATAAAAACAAAAAGCCTGGTATTTGGGGGGGAAATAGCTTTCCCCCCAAGTTTTGGGCGTTGAACCTAAGGCCTTACTCATGCTACTTAAAAACACCTTCAACCTTTTCAGTAAAGTAATACAATTAACAGAAACAGAAAAGGGAGTGGCTTCCAGTGGCTGAAAGGAAGAAAGGGAGTTGTTCAATGGGTCTCGAGTTTCAGTTCAGCAGTAGGCAAAAGTTCTAAACACAAAGTGTATAGCTGATACCACGATACTGTACATCTGAAAAGTGATCAAAATGGATGGGGGCTCTGGCTCAATTCTCAATACCCACAGAGCAGCCCCCTTGTGGCTTTTGTCAGTATTGCATGCACACGGTGCTCAGACATACAGACTGCAAAACTTAAACGCACAGAAAGAAAGAAATCTTAAAAATATTTGTATTAGGTTCATTCATTTTATAAGTATTTCTGCCTGCATGTATGTATTACACCATGTTCATGCTTGTTGTTCCTGGAGGTCAGAAGGCGTCAAATACCCAGAAACTGGAGTTACAAGGCCTCTGTATAAGTGTTGAGCAATCTCTACCATTGCTCCCCAAATCAATCCTTAAAAAATTATCTAGATGGATTCCGCGTGTGTGTGTGTGTGTGTGTGTGTGTGTGTGTGTGTGTGTGTGTGTGTGTGTGTGTGTGTGTGTGTTGCATGGTTCTTCACCATCACTCTCCGCCCCATTTCTTATTTTGGGGGCAAAGCTCTGGCTAGCCTGGAACTTACTGTGTAGACCAGACTGGCCTCAAACTTACAGAGATCCACCTGCCACTGCCCAAAAAGGTGTAGATCAAGATACCCAGCTCCACCTGAATTTTGGAGACAGGGCACTCAGTAAACTTGGATTTTGGTGATTTGACTAGACTGGCTGATCAGATAGTCCCAAGAATCCTCCTGTTGCTGCCTCACCTGCACTTGGGATTATAGATGTGAACTGCGCACCTGGCTTTTTAAGACAAATAAATATCATGCGTTCTGGGGAAATAAGGTCAAATGCTTGTCCAGCAAGCACTTACTGATTGAACTGTTAGCTCCTAAGAGTCTATATTAGTGTTGTGTTTCTCACCCCATTCTCTCTCCTCTCTCTCTCTCTCTCTCTCTCTCTCTCTCTCTCTCTCTCTCTCTCTCTCTCTCTCTCTGTCTCTTTCTCCCTCTCTTACACACATGAGCTTTTTTTTTTTGAGGTTTTGAGACAGGGTTTCTCTGTGTCCCAACCCGCAAGACATTCAACGTGGGTCTGGTGGACACCTAGGAAAAAGATGGGGGTCAGGGGACACAAGGACAGATGCCAAGACAAGAGTCTGATCAAGGTGACAACTTTATGCATCCCAAAGGGATTTATACAGGGGAAGGGAGGAGGGAAAGGAATGGGGGTGTGCTGTCGCTTCGATGAACCTGGTGGAGCGAAGGTCAGTGGGAGGGGTAGGTCATCCTGTGTCCTCTGGTAACCTAACCGCAGACTCTAACTTTATCTTTCACATTCGACCTTCTATTAAGCCTAAGCCCTAGATAAGCCGCAGGTCTGTTTCTGGAATTTGGCAGGTAGCAGGGTGGTCCTGAGTCACGTACTTTCTTTGAGGGTCTTTTCTTATGAGTACGTGAGGCAGCCGTACCTGGTTGATGGCCGGAGGTCCCTGACATCTCTGTATTGTTTTGGAGGCTGTCCTGGAACTAGCTCTTGTAGACCTTGCTGGTCTCAAACTCACAGAGATCCGCCTGCCTCTGCCTCTGCCTCCGGAGTGCTGGGATTAAAGGTGTGCACCACCACTGCCCACAGAGCTTATTTTCTTTAATCAAGTTTGGTAAATTATAGTTGTCAATGAAATTTGAAATATAAGAAATGTTACTTCACTGGCAATGCTCCTGAACGTTCAAAAATAAAGCATTTAAATACAGACACAGAGAAACTCCTTGTTTCTGGTTTTCACCCACGGGTTTCTGATTGGACTTCAGGTAAAGCCTTGTTTGAACTGCTCACCTTTCACGTGCTGCTGTGAGTTTGACTGACTGCTAGTCAGGGGAGCAGCACCCATTTTAACGTTCTGGTTCATTGTGTCTTGTTTTGAGACAGGGTCTCCTTATGTAGACAGGGTGGTCTGGAATTCACTAGGCAGAGTAGGCTGGCCTAGCATTCACAAAGACCCTCTGCTTGGTATAGTTGTGTGTCACCACGATTACTCCTCTACCCCATTTTAACATTTCACTTTGCATGATGGGAATGGAGCCCAGGACCTTGCACATGCCAGGCAGGCATTCTGCCAACCAGTTCCATCTCTAGCCTCCCCATTTCATTTCAGCTTAATTACTTCTTTCAAGTGTTCCACTACTGGGTTACACACATAGGAATGGTTTGATTTTTTTGGGGGGGGGTGTCTCATTATGTTATCTGAGGTGGCCTTGAACTCCTGGGGCTTAGTGATCCCTTCTGCCTCTGTCT